TCAATATTTTGAATGTCAAGAGTTGCGTTTACTTGATGTAAACATGAATCACGCAAGATAGCCGATTGTTTATTGGTCCTTGTAAACCTTCACTGTCTCGAATCGATGATATTTCAAAGAACCAATTTCATATGCATTATTTTCTGTATCGTCTAGAGTAAAAGACACGATTCTCAATAAATATAATAGTTAATTTTTTTAATATGCATTATCAGTTTTATAATGATGAAGAGGAATTTGAACCGAGAGTTGTACCAAAACCAATTGCTAAACGAGATGTAAGTTGTGCCTTCAAACTATCAAATGTTTATTTTATATAAATGTGCATTATAAAAATTGCAGAAATAATTATAAATGATTTATAGCTCTTTATAGTGCCGACTGTACCAGAGGTATCTTTGATTTTTGAAAAATCTGCAATACACAATTCAATTAATGAAAGTACTGCAAAGTCGCCAACAAAATTAACAAGCTCAGTACAAATATCTAATGATGTTGTGAAAGTCATAAATCCTATGTCGCCTATTTCACATAATCCTAACAATCCTAACTCTTATGCAGCATGGAAAAAGGAAAATTATTCAAGGGACATTAGTACTTCAAGTACAACATGTGTTTTACCATTATGTAGAAATAGTTATCATGCATTGCCATTGGGCTTACAAAATAGTTCTGCACAAAAGCAGCAAGAACAGGATAAAATTAACGATAAACAAGAAAAACAAAGAACACATGAATATACAACAAAAGTCAATGATACAATCTATGAGAAAAGTGTAAAATTTAAATGTTCTAATACAGAAGATTTCTATGATCTTACTGATCAGAACCATGTATCATCTTCAGACAAAAAACAATCATCTTCTCATACATCTTCTCTACAAAGAACAACACTCGGCATAACTAAACATACAGAAACATCTAGTGATATCATTCCGTCAGATACTTTAAAGAAACTTGAACATTTTCAGACACCGTATGAATATCAACAATCTCATGCACTTAGTTATCCAAATTGCAATGTTGATAATAATGAAACAGTAAAAACCTTGTTACAGCTTGTAAATAGTCAAAATGAGCAGATAAAAAATTTACAACTCCAGGTAGACAGATTAGTAAGAATGCAAGAAGAAAATTTTAAAAATAAATCGTCCTGTTTGTGTTCGCAATCTCTTACAAATCAAGTATTGAGATATCCAATAAATTGTTATGATACTGCCCTTTCTTCTACTCTCACACAATCTCACAATCAAGGCATAAACAAAAATATAATTTCACAAAATACATCTGTTATAGAAAAGAAAGATCTTGAAAATCTTAGTGAAAATAATAAATCAGAAATCGCATTAGAACAGCAATCAAAAAAGACTTTTATGGAGCAGAAAGTTTCAATTGGTGTTATGACAAGTTTTGAATTTACTGTACAAAATAGTCCATTTTTTATGGATTCTGAAATATATGAGAAAAAGGAAACTCACAAAGAAAGTAGCAATATTAATACTAGAAATACAAATATACATGATACAGCAGAACCCATTAATAGATACAAAAATACATTTACGCGGAAACCTGCTGGAGCTGCACAATTAGAGAATATAGTTGAAGATTCAGAAAGTTATTTATCCTCTAGTCAACAGCAAAGTAGTAATTTAAATGCTAATTCTTCTATGAAAGAATTTTTGAAAATGTATCAACATCTTGCTGCCGATTTAAGTAGGGAAGAAATGCACAAGGAAATATATATAGGAAAAGATAGTAACATGAATAAACATATGCAGAATGCGAGGAAAATATCAAATGCATCTATGAATGTAGATCATAGTTCTACTAGAGATGCAAATTATAATAAAGCCCTTGAACAAACAAACGATTATCGTATAATAAATAATGGAGAAAGGAACATAGATGAAACAAACATTGATAAACATCCCACGTGTAACATCCATTTACCAGTGACAGATTATTATAACCATAAGAATAAGGAATATGACACTAACATTAAACGAATTAAAGATATAGGTGATAGTATGATACTGAGTGGAGGTGATCTTAAAGTATTTGAGAGACCTCCACCAACTCCAGAACCAAGTATTCACGTCGAGATGCAAGAATATATGAGTGATGATGAAAGTGATAAATTGAAACATACTTCGAAAATAGGATGGACATTCTATAACAATGTTCTAGGACAAGTTAACGAAATTTTACAAAATTCTGGTGTTATAGATGATAAAGATTTAAACGATGCTAAAACAATATGCAATATTGAACAAGAAAATGATGTGGAAACTAGAACAGTTTTAAACCCTGTTAAAGCAGCCACTTTGGAACAACTTCAGAAGCTTGGGATTAGTCTAACTGAGAACAACGAACATAAGGAGTCCAATAGCAACAAGACGTATGTATTTTTATATAAATTTGCATTTAAGGCATAGTTAAATTTAGGCTCTTCAAACTTAGTAATTATTTTTGAAAAAAAAAAACTTGTAACAACTGGCCTTAAGTTAAGGTCCTAAGTTAAGGCTATAATAACGTCTATGCAAATGTGATGAGTTATTGCTACATAGTATAATTAACTTATTTGATGCACATACGGAATGTGTTATTATTGCTCTGTAATGCACGAAAAAGTATTGCTTCCTTGTTTTTCATTAATCATTAACTCTATACTACTAGACATATATAATAATAATAATATTAATACTTATAGTAAGAACATCGTAATCCATTTCTTTTCTAGATTGGACTTTGATTCATCTTATTATCCTCGTTTGGATTGTCAGGCGAATATGATACATTCTACTAGCGTTGTAAACGAAACAAATACGAGTATGCACATGAAAGCGTTGGCTTTAAAATATTTAAGTGACGAGCAACTAGCCGACATAGCATTGCATAAACAAGAATCATCATCATTGAAACATTTTATGCTTAGCAATATGCAAGGGACGGATATGTCGTTTGCTACAATGCGTTATTTAGAAAGATATCAACTTCTTCCAGGAAAGAATAATCAAATAGAAGGTCAGTACTATAGATATTAGTATTAATTATATATATTAGTATTATGATGAAATAATACAAATATGTGTGAAACAATATAAATGTATGTGTTTTTTTTGTAAGCAATAATTAGATAACAATGTGTATGCAAAAATGGTATAAAATTATATATTGTAAATTTGCGCGTTATTATTAACTACGTACTTGTACGTAATATACATAATATTAATTTATCTATTTTCTAGGTGTTAATCAAATACATGATCAAGTGTCATCTAAACATGATTTTAAATTGGCAATGATAAAAAATAATCCTGCATTACGTCGATGCCCTTTTGTACAAACATCTGAGACTACTTGTCCCAGTAGAATATTAGAATCTTTCAACTTTAAAGCGACAACCCAAATTATTATAA